ACCCCAAAAGACAGAAAGACAAACCGCGAACAACATAATTGCTGAAATGTGGCGTGTAATAATAGCTATTCAGAAGCTGATCATTCATATTAAACAGGGTGAAGCAAGCTTCTCATTTGCATGTTTGAGATTATATGCATTTCAAAAGTCATTTCCGCAGGGTATATGACTGACATTAATTCCCATGTGGAGCTGCCGGCTCCCTCCCGCCGTCCTGGTGCTACCAAACCCGCGCAGGGTGACACACCAGTGGCTGCGGGAGAGTTCAAGGTTAACGGGATTACTGGGCTTTGGTTTTATCTGAAGCACAGGAGCTGGGGGAAGAGCCTGGGACGGTCGGAGCAGCGTCCCGAGAAAGGACCAGGAAGGGATGGGATGCTCACCTACGAACGATGTGTTAGGAGCAAAAAAGCTGGAAGAAAGAAAACGCCTTTTGCCCTCGAAAACTACATTTGCTCCTTCTCCCTTGCTAACGTCAAACAAGAGCCTGAAGAAATATTACATTATTGCTGTTTCTTTTCTCATTTTCCTTGTGAAACCCGCTGCCTGCTCCGCATTTCGACCAGGCAAGCAGCCCCACGGGGAAAGCCGGGCTCTGCCCATGTCCGGCAGTCACAAGGCATCACCACGGCCAGAAACTCGGCAGGATTCAAAAAGGGATTTGACTTTTATACGGAGAACAAGAATATCCAGAGTTACAACAGGAAGTATTAAAAAAGGAAAAAAAAAAAAAAGTTTTTGGAAAGGATATAAAACTTTCCTGGCTTCGGGGCATAAATTGAAGCTTAACTATTGGGAATTAGGAGGAAATCTCTTCTGGTGGAGGAGCTGTAACCATGGGCTTGCTCTGTCATCCCTGGCCCCTGCCAGAGGCGGGATGCTGGAGCAGATGAACCGGCGCTGGGGTCCAGCTGGGTGATTCCCGCAGCCCGGGACACCAGGCCAGTTGGGTTCTCTCTCCAAGTCTAGTAAAACTCAACTTCCCGTTCGCAAACCCTACTGGGATGCTGGTGTGTCTGGGTTCCCAACACTGCAAGGGAAGTAATAAAAGAAAGTAATAATAATAATGAAAATATTTCCATTCATATAAAAGTTTCACAAAACCTTAAAGAAAAAAAAAAAAAATGAAGCCAGTGTCTGCGACGTTATAAAGTCGATTTAAATTAGGAACGAGTGCTTTTCCAGCCAGGACTGATCCGGGACGACTGAAGCTGCATTAGGATGAGCAAAACCCAGCTGCACGACCGGCTGCGAGTGCTGAAGCACACGTGCATCCCCGCACATGGACGGACGGCTCTGCAGCATCCCCGCTCCCGCTCTTCATCTAGGTTTTTTAGTTCAAACACGTCCAATAATTCAGGGATTCTCCATACGCTGGCATCCAAAGGGCCTAATCGGGATCAGACCTTCCCCCAGGCATAAAGGCAGGGCCCCTGTCCAGACAGTCACCGCAGAAGATACAACACCCAGATAAAGTAGAAAAGGATGGTTTTACTTAAAAGGGGAGGGGGAGGAGACCCCTCTAATGGCAATGAGCGAGAGAAGCCGTGCAAATGGATGCTAATTACCATTTCAGACACAAAATCACTTCACCGAATAAGCACTCTGCCTTTTTTTTTTTTTTTTCTCTTTTTTTTCTTCCCCTTTCACTTAAACGCACACCTTGCGCAGGACAAAGGGAAGGAAACGGAGAACTGCATGCGGAGTAAAGAATCCCCCTGCCTTTAGCAGTACCATATGGCAATGAGAGTATATTAATTACCGTTGCTTTTTAATTAACAATTGCTTCATCTGAGCAGTAACATTTCCTTGACATCCCCTGACTCGCCGCTAACCTGTAAAGTGCACGCGCCATGCCAAGTCATCAATTCATTTTTATTGACATCCCCCCCCCCCTCCAAACAGGCACGATACCAGGGTTTTCCAATTAACACCTCCACACTCTCTAATTAGCACAATTAACAGACTGATGGATGCCCAGAGCTTCCCTGCAAGGGAGGGTGCAGATCAGCTGGCCAGGCTGTCGGACACGGCTCCCGTCGTGTGCACGTGTGGCCGACACGCGTGTGCCACGCTCCCCGGGGTCCCCCGGGAGCACCACGTGTGTGCCGTGACACGGAGCTCGGCATCGCCACGGAGCCCGGCATCGCCACGGAGCCTTTCTAAACCTCAGCAGAAAAAGGAGGATGAACGTGGAAGCGAGCGAGCCGGCAGACTCAAAGCAAAGATTTGCACCAAAGGACGTGGCGTCTTTAAGAAAAGGCAGAGCAGGTGAAGCATTTACAGAGCGATTTCTCCCCAGAAGCTCCTAACAGATTTTGGGGCATCCAGACCCACCCGAAGCGATGTTGCTTCTCCACCTAATTCAGCTCCACGGATGCGAAAATTAAATAGCGCTCCACAGCTCTCGGGACCTGCAGAAACAGGTACAGCCAAGACCACGAGCTCCTAAGAAGCCTCAACACCTATTTTAGCTGCTTCTTCTATTTTTAAATATCCTCAATACCATGATCCTCAGGGGCTCTGTAACTTTGGGCTGCCCTTCGTGGGCTGCTGGCAGGACCAGAGCCACACACAGACCTGGGCACCTCCTCCCCGCGGCCAGCGGGTCCCTGTCCCCATCCCCACGCTGACAACCTCGCTTTCCCCAGATTCAAACCCAAAAAGCGCCCCCAGCTCAAAACCACCACTCGGGAGGGATGAGGAGGAACAGTGGGGAACACCAGCGGGAAAACGCTCCCCACCACGTCTCCGTGAGCAGAGCAAGTCCCCGGCACCGAACCACATTTTGCAAGGGACAGCAGAGGTGACACCACACACGTACAAGTGGCCCAATACTGTGATGCTCTGGAGGCTTTTTCCACCTTTCCCACCACGTCCCAGCCCCAAAGCTGTTTTGCAGCCCCTTCCTCCTAACTCTGGCCTCTCCAGGCCCCAGAGGGGAGCTGCCCCACGGCTCCCCCCCCTCCCCGACAGCAGGAGCCAGGCGTGCTGGCAGCCTCTTCGGCGGGTACTGGCAGATGATGGAGGAGCACAGACTGTGCAAATTCCCCCCGCAAAGCTGACAGAAGTCCTGCGGGATGCGCGTCTGCTCGTCCGAGAGGAGACGAGGACTCGATCCCAGGCACGGGATCTGCTCTGAGCTA